CCCCATCCCCCCTCCCCATCCACCCACCCCAAGATTGTCCTCACTTTTGCTTTATTTATCCGCGCCACTTTCACCTCCAACTCCTCCTCAATGCAATCGAACCTCGGAGTACAAAAAATCGGAGCGCAAGAGGCCGTTCGCCTTTATCGACGAGGCCAAGCATCTCGGGGGCCATTGGTCAAGCCCATCATTTGGCACAGAATGCTAATGAAAAGGGTAGCGACCGCCGAAAGGAGGGAAAAGCGTGTCAGGAGAGGCAGGCCTCTTCCTCGATACGTCGTTAGTGTCGAGCGGCTGTCCGGGTCAACGACCTCCTCGGGGTGGCTTACATAAAGCGAGCAGCCAATTCGAGCTCGACTAAAGGTGAACAGGTGTTTATTCACGATAGGGACTCACGCGTCTCAAGCTTTTGTCGCGACGAGGCGATTTTCCCTCGCGTCGCCCCCATCCTCTCCAGCACTGGGGCTTCATTGAAAGTCCGAAGACATAAAACGCGTATAGCGATCCCGTCTCTCTTTACTCGCGGTAATGACTTTTGAATAGAGTGCCTCGGCTCTCGACGAAATCGCTGTAATATAGGCGCCGGATCTTCAGAGTCTTCAGTCTGATGTTCCGTAGCCCAAAGACCAGACCTTTTCCGCTTTTTCTATCTTTACCGCCTTAGCTACGCTATTATTTTTCACTTATTCGGTTGCTTCTTCTTCTTCTAATATTTGCCCTTTGCTTCTATGTTACAGATACCGGACAGATGCTGCACCGACGTCAAGCCCTAGAAGTATATGATACAGGAGTTCCTTTCTGTCCCATAGGTGAGATCATTGACTATTCATTCGTCTGAGTTGGTCGACCTTTTTCTTTTCTTAGAATGTGCATTGTTGTTATGCGTGCGCGATTAAGATATAATATCTGTTTCAATTATTCGGACGTTTTATCAAACTAGACCGATTCAATGTTAATCTTGCGATGATTGATGATTTGAGAACAAATCGGTACGTGTTAGAAATAAATTGTGTAGACGATATTAGCTTTAGAGGCTCGATTAAGATACTTTCTACTCGATTAGTTCGTTAAAACTCATTATGTCTTTTTTCCGTTTTGTTTTGTTCTTTCTGTTTTTTCTGCTTTTCCTCTTTTTTCTTTCTTTTTTTCTTTTTTTACATTAGTGTTTTTCCTCGATTATCGCGAAACAGTGTTGCAAGCAAAAGAAAGTTACTCCGTAATACGATATTTACTATATCGGGACGAGCACTGCTTACTTAAGGCATAAAAGCTTCATTACATTTTCCTTGAAGTTAGGTAGAAAGAAAACATCAAAGACATATCTAAAAATAAAAATTATATCTTTGAATTTTTTCACTTTACGAAAGAAGTTGATATGACTTAAGCAAACCTTGTCTCCTGAAATCCAAATCATTTCAACATCCATCAAAGCTTTTCAACTTAATTTTAATCGCAACTCATAATATGATTATTCATTTGAAACCGAGAGTTTCGCAAACTCTCATTATTTACAATTCAATGCCTGTATGTTTGAAATATTCGTAAAATCGATTTCAAACTAGAAACAGCCGTAATATTTTAACAGAAATGTCACGCAAGTATAACACTTATCTGTAATAAAATTTTCGAGACACCGTTCCCTACGTATAATCAGAATGTTGGAAAATATCGCAATGTGTCTGTCGATGAAAGAAACTGAGCCAAAGTTAAGCCATTTCAGGTCAAATTAAAAGCCAAACTTATTTAAAATTATTGCTAAAATAAAAATTACGATCCATAAAATATTTTAATGATAGCATATTTTTAATAAATTATTGTCTCGTTTATGAAAATAGTAGAAAGCAACTTTGCATTTGCTAGAGCAGGAAATTGGCAATGAGCAATTAGCCGAGTCGCTAATAGTTTCAATTATAAGCAAAGCATGTAATAGAATACTTACACCTTTTTCCAACTAATTCTAACGAATAATTTATTTACAATAATAATAACGCTTATTAAATTATATTGCGAGAATAGCATCGATAAAACGATCGATTATGATTCACAGAGAAATCAATATGAGAGAAGCAAAGGAGCGCACAAAATTTATAGATTAGCAACGAGGGCAAGGATTCTTGGTGCCAATTTCAAATAAAAGGAAGTCAGAAATAACGGGACGAAAAAAAAAATTATGTGGCCAGTAACATAAAGTTTTTTTTTTCACTACTAGTAATATGGCTTGAATTGTCCGATATGAAAAAATTTCTGATTATGATAATACGATGCAAGTGATAGAAATAGAAACTTATCTACGATCTTTAACGTCGCCGCGTATCGGAGAATGTGTAGTTGTAATTCTGTTGTCCGATGAAATATTGAATAGCGATTTATCGTCTCTCTTATCGGGAACATTTATTCAATCTATCATTTTCCTCTGTTTCTATGGCTTCATCCCCCCCTCCCCCACATACACTGATTCCCCCCGCCAATCTCACCAAATAAACAAATATATAATTATCGTTATTTTAATTTCTTTTTTTGTTGTTTGTTTTTTGTTTTGTTTTAATGTTCTTATTTCGTGAGTTTCAAAGCCAAAATCGAGCTCTTCTATTGTACGAAGTGTGGAGTTTGCATGTGCAGGCTACGTCGAATCAACGTAGCCGTAATACAAAATTATATTGGTTCTTTTCGAGTGGCAAGTTATTATTATACTCTACTTCAGTTAATGTCTAATAGCATTAGAAGTTCGTTACGTCGGATCATACACAAATAAATGAGAGAAAAATGTCGCAAGATAGAGGATTGATCGTTTAGTATTTTGATGGCTAATTCTTAGCCAATTTATAGCGTTATTTTTAAACGCTTTTATTACACCGATGTTTACATTATTGATAATACGCCATAAAATCTTTGGGATAGAGGGGAATCCCATTCCTTAATCTCTTTATTTGCAATTGCATTTTTCTTCCTGAGCGACGAGTCAAATGAAAAACTTCCTGCT